CAGAAAAGAAAGTGTAAGGATGGTTTTGACCAAAAAAACAAAGCCAAACAACAAAGCAAACCGAAAAGAACTTTGCAGATCAAATTCACTTGGTGCAGCTTGACAGTTGAATTCAAATTTCTGTTCCTCAGTGTACATCAGCTATTGCCATAATACTGTAATAATTCACAAGCACACACACACACACACACACACACACACACACACACACACACACACATATATACAGACATATATATATACATACACACCCTGCTTCTTGGAAAGATTCAGATGGGCTCACGCTGCTTTCCTGTAATTTTATTCACTAATTGCTGAGTTCTTGATTTCTTACACTAATTAATTGCTCTCATATTCCACTATTGCAACAACTGAAGTAAAGAAAATCCACTGTGATGTACTTGAGCTCTTGTAAACTAAGAAAGGTTAAATAGTTTTAAATCTCCTTAAAATGTAGAAACCAAGTACCTTAAATGGTGCACTTAAAAATTCCAGCACCAAAAGAGCTCTTAAAAATTTTAAATTAATACTCATTCTCTATGCACCAACCCCCAATCATTTCCAAAGCAAAGCTCTTTAGAAACATTTAAAACGCTTCAAAAATGCTAAAATGCCATGTTCTTTGAAGAATGATTAGAGATTGTAAGTGCTTCAGACATTTTTTTTTTTCTTTTAATCTAAGTGTCTCCATTTGAAAGCTTGTCAAGGTGCAGGCATGGAAAGGGAATAAAAACTTAAAGGAGATCAAGATAGGATGTCAAAACAAACTTACAATTTCCCAAGATGGATTTATGAAGCAAAGCTGTCAGTTTTGCTGTCATGAAGCTTCAGAATAGCACAAGTTTTCAATTTTTCACCTCATCATTCACAGTGGAATTGCAAACTTTTTTTTTGACCTTTTAGAAACCAAGTCTGGAGTTGTGACATTTAAGTTACTCTTCTCCTCCTCTAATTGCATTGATTCTAGCTTTAAATAGATAATAACGAGACTTTTTCCATGTCGGAAACATGTTTTCCCACATTTTGGCAAAAAGTATATTACTAAAGTAAGAATGTACAAGTACACTCTCTTGAGGTCCAGGCTACCTACCAGATGCTTAGTGTACATCTATGGAGGTAGATGATGCCATTGCATAATACCTTCTGTAACAAGAGTGCTTGAATGATACTTGCACTGTGACTTCAGCTGTTTCTTGGTAATAGCCAAGTGGTTGGGAAAAAAGAATATGACATCTATTTATTTTTTTCCACATGGGTCTAGCTATACTGTTTTACTGTTGTCCCTCCACCCTCTGCCATCTTGATCTTCAAAACAGGGTTTCTCAACTTTAGCTTCATCAGAATCACCCACCAAATCATTGGGACTTGTTAAATTCCAGATTGCTGGGCTCACCCCCAGTGTTTCTGAGTCAGCAGCTCTGTGATTGGGGCCTGAGCCTTTACATTTCTAACAAGTTCCCTGTTTATACTGATGTTATTTTTCTGGGAACCACACTTTGAAAACAACTACTCTAGAGAAATAAAACGACTTTTTTTGTTGTTTTAATAATTGTAGGTGTTCTGGCATGTTGTTTTATGAATGCAAGGGTAGTCTTGCTGTTATCACATTCCTTGTCTACCACCCAGAGTATTTTTTAATCCAACGCACAACACCTTGTCTTTCCACTACGTCCTTTTCTTTGTGTTTATTTTTATTACTACATTAATAACCCCTGGATATCCTCTTCCTTCTTGTAATTTGGAAGCTTGAGGTTATTCTACTGAACTCCTTGAACCTGTAAATTTCTTTTGAATTATTAATTTGGATTTTAAAAACCTTATGGTTTAGTGTCCTTGTAAAATAAAAATTGCACCAAGTGGGTTACCAGGCAAGGAAGACTTTATTACTACTGCTATAGGGATCAAGACCATTGGGTAGGGGAGAGACATAGAATTGAACCCTACTGAATCAAAAAACAGGAGAGTTTTTAAGCACTGAGATTTGCTAGTGGAAAAGTTTTGGAAGAAGTCAGAGAGGAAATTGGTCAATGTGATCAGGCCAAATGTGTTTGCCAATTTATGCTGTGGAAGTTAGGCTCCTGCCCACCCCCAAAAGATGAGGGTTCTATTTTTCTCAATGATTAGGTTCCCCTGGGATGGCTCCCAGGTCCTTAAAAAAGACTTTCCTGAGTTTTAAAACTGGCAAGAGATTTACATCTTAAAGGGGTAGAAATACTCTAAGGAAAGGGTGGTAAGGAGCCTCTAGTCTGGAAGAAATCTGTATCAAGTTTGGTGAAGCTGAAAAGAGCATTATGATTATCTTCTTCGCCATTGCCCACTACTTCCTGAAGAAAACACAGCTAGTAAGTGGCAGAATTAGAATTCAAACCTAGGATCCTTCCTCACTGGGGGCTGTTTACTCTATTCCAAGGGAATTGGCCTGTATTCCTTCCTTTTTGCCCTGTTCTCTCCTGGTTTTTCATTTTGTTTTGCCTTGTGATCTCTTTTCTTTTTTTTTTTTTTTTCAATTTTTTCTCTCTCTCTCTCTTTTTTTTTTTTTCCTATTTCTCTCTTCAGTGATCACCTGAGTCTCTCACTCAGCCGCTCTGATGTCTTCTCTCTTCCCTTCCCTCTAGCTGCCACTTAGAATCCAGCTTTAATTTCTGAGCCTCCCACTGTGGCAACATCAGATTTCTGTCTAGTGTCTCCTAAAACCTGATACAGACTTGGTCAGAGCCCTGGCTTCACCTGGTTCTCACTTCAATTACAGGAAGATAGACAGATAACCTACAGGTTCAGAGCGCAGACTGTGAAGTCAAGTTGCCTGGGTTTGAGCTCAGATTCCACCACACGTGAAGTGAGCTTTGGGAAATTAATATGTCCAAAATTCAGTTTTCACCTTCAAAATGAGATTGTTGTGAAAATTAGGTTAGACAATTCATATAGAATTATTGGCAATTAGCACAATGCATGACACATACAAGGACTGACAATTAAGTTCATGAACTCATTCTAGAAAAAGTGCTACATACCTCATTGTTGAATATCACTATGGTCACCTTTGAAGCTATGCACCAACACCAGTGCTTAGTCCACCCATCAAAGCAATTTTGGAACTCTCTTTAGAATGGCCATCAGAGCTGTCATCATATTACCTTGATGTCCTGAATGCTATCAAAATGTCTTCCTTTCAATGTGTTATTTGTGTTTAGGCAAAGAAAAAAGTCATTGGGGGCCAGATCAGGTGAGTAGGGAGGGTGTTTCAATACAGTTATTTGTTTACTGGCTAAAAGCTTCCTCACAGATAGTTCTGTGTGAGCTGGTGCATTGTCATGATGCAAGAGCTCCTTCGGGACCATTTTTGCACACACATCTTTTTCATGCCAAGATTTTTAGTTAAGATTTTCCTGTTTTTTTATTGATGTTTACTTGATCTTCTATGCTTCTCACAGTCAGCTGATGATTTTGACACACAATTTGACAAGTTTTTGCAGTATTTCGTCAGGTCTGCTCATTACTGGCCTTCCTGACTTCTTTTCATCAGTGATACTTTCTCTCCCCTCAGAAAAAATATTCAATCCATTTGTACACTGCCATTTTCTTCTGGCATTATCCCCATAAACATGGACTAACATATCCCTGATTTCACTTCCGTTCTTGCCAAGTTTAACAAGAAATTTAATGTTTGTTTGTTGCTCTAATTCAAGCTCTGACATTTTTATTACAGCACACAAAAACATGCAACAATAATTAACGCCACTCAGCAAGACACCACCCACATGTTGACACACAGCTGTGAGACACTAATATACCAAGATTATGAAACCTTACCAAGTTGTTTGTACAGTGCTCCCAATGTAAGCTCACAGTAAGAAGTTCACGTACTTAATTGTTGTGCTTATAGACCTACTATATAATTATTTGCCATGGTTATCATTAAGCCCCTGAAAAAAAGAAAACCAGAAATACTTTGAATTCATATGCATTTCAAATCCTAAAGTCCTCAATTATCAATTTCAATTTTTAAAAATCGTTGGACTCTTCTAATCCTATGCCCTTTATCACTATTACTAGCATTCTTTTTTTTTTTAATCAAGTACTTTAATAACACTGGCTTTGTGTATAATGTGGCTCTCCCTGGGTCTTGGTGGTTGATGTATACAAGCTGGTCAGAGCTCTGGTTATGAGATGACCAGTTACCAAGCCCTTGTTGAATTGCTGAGGCATCCTTTCAAGGAGGAGGTATGACATTATCTTGATCTTTGCAAACGCTGACAGTTTAAGCCAAACTTCATTTTTCTTCATTCCTTTAACCCATGACATCAAATCATTTACATTGCCTCATCACCACTCCTGTTGATGCTGCTACTTTTCCTCCAGGTGATGGTGGAGAATGATATTCTAAGTCAGGGATTTGTGACCATCTTTCTAAAGCCAACTTTAAGTCACTCATTGGATTTGATTGTGACATTTTATTCTGTATGAATAAACCTACCTACACACACCCATCCTATCACTAACTTACCCCTCACATCAGAGTTGAGAGGTGCTTTATGGGCCCCAGCTCTTTTTCAGTGTTTCGTCCTCAGCCTGGAGATGAGTTGAATCATTTTTGTATGACTTTAAACACCTGGGCACCGGAGATTTTGCTGTTTTGTTATTCCAATTGTTGTTGCTGCTCTGGTGTCAAGCTTGCAGTGTGACACCAGATCAGACACAGCAAAGTCCATAATCAAACATTGCAGTCTGCCTTGGACTGTGACCTCAGAGTCATAATTTCAGTGATATAGTCTCAAAATTATTATTAACATTTTCAATATTCCTGTTACATCCTTTATTTTTCTCCCCGTGCATTATTTAGAACCCCATCAGTATTCTAAACCATTTAGATGGAGCATCCTGACTCGACCTATAACTTTAGGATTATTAGTAATCAAGTCATGGGAAAAGCAGAGAAGATGCCTTGCTGAGACCACGTTCAGGAGGCACTGTGGGGTCATGGTTAAAACTTGAGCTATGGATCAGTCTGCAGAGATCAAATTCCTGCTCCACCATTATTTAGCTCTATGAGCTGGGTTGAGTTGTCTAACTTCTCTATACTTAGTTTCCCTACTTGTAGAGGCAGTATTTGTGTTTACTATTAAAGTGATTTTTTTTTTCTGGTACTTACAGATACTAAGTGTTCAATAAATACTACTATTCTCCTTCTCAAAAATTATCACTCTCCCCAATTTTTCCCTCTTTCCTGCAGTTGCATGTTGTATTCCTATCATTTGTTTTTAAAAACCTCAGTTTAATTTAAAGGCCATATTTTATAATCTTGATAAAAATGTTACCTATCGCTTATTTATTTTGACCTTTAATGACACAGAAGAATACATCAATAGTGTAGATCAGCAGTCCCCAATCTTTTTGGCATCAGTGACCAGTTTCATGGAAGACAGTTTTTCCACAGACCAGGTTGGGAAGGGGGTGCAAAGGATGGTTGCCGGATGATTCAAGTGTGTTACATTTATTGTGCACTTTATTTCTATTATTATTACATTGCAATATATAATGAAATAATTATGCAACTCACCATAATCAGTGGGAGCCCTGAGCTTGTTTTCCTGCAACTAGACAGTCCCATCTGGGGGTGATGAGAGACAGTGATACCCGAAGTGTTTTGCATATGTCCAGTCTACTCCATAATCTCTTTGTGGTTGCTGTCACTGCAGAAAACCCTGCTTCACAAAGATAGGATGTTGGAAATGAAAGCAGGCTTTTCAGTGTTGATCTGATAGGAGGCAGTGCTCAGGCGGTATTGCGAGTGATGGGGAATGGCTGTACATACAGATGAAGCTTCTCCTCACCCAATCACCTCCTGCTCTGTGACCCAGTTCCTAAAAGATCACAGACTGGTGTAAGTCTAATGACTAATGGTTTAATCTATGTCTTGTACTACATTCTTGCAACCTATTAGTTTGCAAGATTATTAGTTTGAATAATCGTCTATTAGTTTGAATTTGCAGTCATAAAAATTTTGATTGGTGTGTTTTCTCCCAGCTGTTCTGGTTAATACCTAGAGCCCAGAACAGCTATTGTTAAAGGCTCTGCAGCTGCTTGACTTTGGCTGCAGTGAAAAGCATTGAGTGTCCAATGGATATGAGATGTGGCAGGTGTTTCTCTCTTTGTCTTCAGTGGAAGGAAAGGAGAGATTATTACTTAAGGGCTTCTACACACTGTTCCATTAACCTGCATGTTTGAGAAAACCACAGTCCACAAACATCACTATGATTTTAATCTTCTGTGTCATCTGAAGGATGCTCAATCATTATGAAGGTCAAGTCCTCCTTGGTCTACCCTTTGGCCATATTAACAAGAGTTCTTAAAATATGTAAAATGAGTAAAGCATCTTAAACACTTAAATATATTGCAATAATAATAATAATACTCACCATCTAATGGCCATATAGCTTGTGCCAGGCCCAATATTGGATTCCTTGCATTTTTAAAAAGAAATTTTATAAAAAGAAACAATTTTTAATATCAAAAGTCTATGTTGTTTCAAATTTTACACATACACAAATTAATATTCAATGGTTTAAAGATTAGAAAGAATCAGAGTTCAGACTCATTCATGTCTCTCTGACTTTCTTTTATTTTATTTTTTTGAGTTGGAGTCTCACTCTGTCGCCCAGACACTAGAGTGCAGTGGACGCTCCCGGCCACTGCAGCCTCGACCTGCTGGGCTCTGGCGATCCTTCCGCCTCAGCCTTCCAAGTAGCCAGAATTACAGGCACACCCTACCATGCCTGGCTAGTTTTTTTTGATTTATTGTAGAGACGAGGTCTCGCCAAGTTGCCCAGGTGGGACTCGAACCCGCGGACTCAGGCAATCCACTCACCTCAGCCTCCCAAAGCATAGGATTACAAGCTGAGCCACCAAACCCGCCCGTCTCTCTGACTTTCAATGCTATACACTTTCTCCTAAGTCATGCCATTCCTTAAAAGGGACTTTATATGATTTTCAAAATTGTTCACTTATGTATGCCATGCGCCCAATAGCAATGATTCAGTTCTTCTACTTACACTGCATATGGAGATAAAAGATGATTTCTGACTATGCCTCTTCAAAATTCAGCTGTATGGCTGTTGGAGAACCAGGAATTTGGAACCATGTGACCCACACGTCATAGGATTCCTCCTCTTTAACCTCTATCACAGTCATTTTATTCTTCTCATTCCAGCTTTGTAAGATGTTTCAAGGTATTAATTACTCAGGGATAAGGAAGGGAGTTTGCAGGTACCGAATTCAGAAATTTAGGATACCGTTTACCAATTTATCATCATAGTAGAATATTAAAAGGCTGAGAAAGAGTGCTCATTCTTAATCCCTCTTTTCCTAGAAAATTTACACATCTGAAAATATGTAGTGAATACTTCAATAAAACATGAGCCAAACATATGGGAGGAACATTAGTTAATCTCATCCAGCAGCAAGCACCTCAAATGCTTTAAGGATGGGTTCTAGAAAAGTAAGCAAGCATACTCAGCTCTGTGCTTTCTCTTTTCTCTGTGCACTAAACAGACTTGTTGATTCTTATCCTCATGCCAGGCTCTGAGTCTTCCAGCAGCGCAGGCTCCTCGGGATCGCTGTCTCGCACCCACCCACCTCTCCAGAACACACCCCTGGTCTCAGGTGTGGCAGCTGGTTCTCCAGGCTGTGTGCCCTATCCAGAGAATGGAATGGGGGGGCAGGTCGCTCCCAGTAGCACCAGCTATATTCTCCTTCCACTTGAAGCTGCGACAGGCATCCCGCCCGGAAGCATCCTTCTTAATCCACACACAGGTTAGTTACTACCTGCTTTATCAGGGACACAAGGTTATCAGGGGATTGTTCTTATCTTGTGAATTTGCTAGCAAGTTTTCTGAAAATTTCTGAACAGAAGATCTAGGTGCATGAATTCCTGTGTAGCATTCTGTTTAGAAAGAGCAGATCTGTACTGTAGCTATATATATATCTCCATATTGATAGTGATACAGATATAGATGCTTCCCAGAAGCATCTACTTTTCTCTCTGTCTTTTTTTTTTTTTTTTTTTTTTGAGTCAGAGTCTCACTCTGTCGCCCAGGTTAGAGTGCTGTAGCATGCTCACAGCCACTTCAGCCTCAACCTACTGGGCTCAGGTGATCCTTCTGCCTCAACCTTCCAAGTAGCCAGAACTACAGGTGCACACTATCATGCCAGGCTAATTTTTGGTATATTGTAGAAACGAGGCCTCACCAAGTTGCCCAGGCTAGTCTCGAACCCCTGGGCTCAGACAGTTCTCTCACCTTGGTCTCCCAAAGTGTTAGGATTACAGGCTTGAGCCACTGCACCAGGCCTTCTGTCTTTTTCCCTTACCATGGTGTCTCTCATACATTCTTAGGAGCAGAGATCAGAGAAAATCGTGGAAAACCTGTATCATGTTAAAAGTGTTTTTGCATTCAAGGATATTTCAGGAACTTGAGGCATCAATTGAGACATACAGTGAATTCTTAACTATAGAAGATACTTTCTCACTTCAGAACTTCACCCAGCTTGGATGGGAGAATAAGAAACAGCAGAGGTGAAGTAGATACAGAGAGCAAATTCATGTGTATTTTAGGAATGTCAAGCCTAGATTGGTTTTGGTGAGGTTTAAAGAATTGTTCACTCTATAATTATGTTTCTACCATGATGAATAGCCATTGCTTCTTTAATTTTGCATTTCTCTAGTGGATAAGTTGACTTTCATATTGAATTCAGCAAACCTAGGACATTGAGATTCTGGCATCAGCAAGTAGACTAATATCTGTTTCAACCAACAACAATTTTATCCATGCCCCCACAGCCATTTGACAATATCTGGAGACATTTTAATTATCATGACTGGAGGAGGAGGGGACTGCTATTGGCATCTAATAGATAAAGGCTAGAATGTTAATCAACATCTTGTCCAATACAGACCCTCATAGCAGACAGTTCTCTAGTTCAAAACGTCACTAATGCTGTGGTTGAGAATCCCTGGTTTAAAAAGCTTGACATTAAAGAAAATATGGTATACACATACACCATGGAATACTATGCAGTCATTAAAAAAGGATGAAATCGTGTCCTTTGCAGCAACATGATGGAACTGGAGAACACCATTCTAAGTGAACTAATCCAGAAGCAGAAAAACAAACACCATGGGTTCTCACTTATATGCCATGGCTAAATGGCCACAGAGATGCAAATAATAACCCTGGGGACACTAAGAAGGGAGGAGGCAGGAAGAGGGATTAGGGTTTAGAAATTTCCAATTGGGTCTAATGTTCACTATCTGGGAAATGAGCCACCTGAAACCCAGTCCCTACCATTACACATATGTCCATGTAGCAAACATGCGCTTGTACCCCCTGAATCTAAAATGAAACAAAGTTATATTTTAAACACAGAATAATATAATCCTCTTCCTGGAATTAAAACAAAATGGAAAGCTTAATATCAACTAGTCACTTCTTACAATGTCTTTATTAGAACTCTGAAAAAGAAATTGAATTGTCTTGAAATAGATCTGAAGTTTGACTTAGGTAATTCCAGGATATTTCTTCAATTAGCTAAGCTTGAAAATGCAAAACTGGGTGAGTATCTCATAAAAATTATCTGACTCAATCGTCTCACATATATAGTGCTACTAGTAATTAGAAAATTCAGAGAAACATGAGAGCTATAGCAAAATAGTTACTTGAATAATTACCACATTTTCATAAAACATATGGCACATTCTCAAGGTCTGGTGTTTGACTGAGACATATTGAAAATGCCATAAGCTTGAGGGAAAAAAGGCATAATCATTTTATTGAAAACCATTTGAAAACTTCAGATTAGATACTTTTGAGGAGTACTTTTGGGTTGTTTTTATTTTCTTTGGATTATTATAGGCACTATAAAGGAACTGTTAAAAGACCAGGATCATAGTCATTACTCTGGGCACTAATCAAAGTACTATCCGACTCTGTTGGCTTAAATTCTTTCACTTTTAATTGAGATAGAGGGCTTGCAGAAAACAGCACACACTAAGCATTTATTTTGAGTGGTTTGTTTTAAGCAAAATTACAGAGTGTTTCAAAAACTCTCGGCAGAATATTTTTAGGGTACAATTCAGGAATATTATTTGTAATGATAGCATGATTTTGCATGTGTATGTGTATATTATCATCTATAATCTTGTTTATAGAAAAAAAGAAACAGAATGCTGTGTGGTGCCAAGTCCCAATTCTTATTCATTGGACCGAGTCATTTAGAGCTGTTATCAAAATATCTTTTGTCAAAGGATTCCAACTAAGGAAAAGGATATAATAACACTGTCGAGCAGCTTCTCCATACACATTTGTCTGATTTGACAAATGCCAGAAATATCCCTAGGCCAGAAGGAAATGTATAAATACATCGTATAATTTAGATGAGTGGTGAGTTGCAAGGTTAATTATTATATTTCTTCTCTTCTAGAATATGTTTATTGAATATGTAAATTGAAAATATACACACGTATGTTTGTGCACATGTATATTATACACATATGTATACGTGTATTCGTGGTGTGTGTATGTGTGTGTAGGTGAGCGTGTGTTTGTATTTATCTACCAAATCTCTTATATGCCTCCTTTGGGCTGGGTCTCATCTTCTTTGTCTGTCCTTGCTGTGATCCCAGAAACTACACTTCTCACCCTTTTAAAAATACCTTTCTGCCAAGTACACAACAGAAAACTTTGGTGTTAAAAACCAAGAGCATGTGATTGCTTCTTGTGTGAATTGTACTTGGGTTCACTCCATTGTTACCAGAACGTGTATAAACACCTTGTGGAGAGGGGTCACGCTTGATTATTGTATTTTACTTTTGTGCTTCTCCAGAATGAATACCAAAGTCTTGGGCACTGTGCAGGTGCTCAATAATTGCATCATTATTAAAAAGAATATCTACTATCTGTTATATATGTTGATGTGGAACAGTTTTTCACATAATGTCATATATTTGACATGTGACTCATGTATAAAACTGTGATTGATAAAATATCTATCTTAAATAAGAACAGGACAAGCAATAATTTTAAAATACGAAGGTGTCTGTCAATCATGTGTCTACTAAATTAAACAAAAATGAAACTTCCTTTGTCAGCACGACTGACTTGGCTCTTACTAAGTACTAAATATTTGGCATGCGGAAATCAACCCACTCACATATGCGCTTGCAGTTTCCCCCAATAGAACCATAACCTCTAATTTTGTCTGACCTTAGGCTCAGTTTTCAGCTGGTCCATTTCTAACTCTAGACCTCTTGCTGTTCCTTGCTCTTCAGGCATCTGGATGAGTGAGCTGCCACAGAGGCTGTTTTTCAAAGCTGCCTCTGTAAAACATCTTCATCCTTGCAAAGCAAACTGGGACTCTTGATCATCCTCCAGCTGTCCTGAACCCAGTCTCCCTTTGGAAATTTTTAGTAGAAAGCTCAGCTCTGTTGGGCTATTTTATTTAAACTCTGTGCGATCTGAAAATGCCAGCAGCATTGGCATCCTACAAATACTTGTTAATGCCCGTATATATTGTTTTGTCATTTTGTTTGCCTTTATTCAGAGCAAATTCAAGAGTGTGTTATGTGAGGGCAGGCCAACTTCAGGGACCTCACTCTGAGGAGACTTTTAGGGTCATTCTCTCTCAAATGCTCCTCATGGGCTTCCATAATGCATACTTTAATTTTTATCAGGACATCTAGCATCTTTGTATCCAAACTGCTTCCATGCTTTTCTTAAAGGCACCATGAAATTTATGTGTGCTTTCTATAAACGTATCTTTGGAAGGTCTGAATAAATGCTTGCTTACCCATAATCAGTAGTTTCTTTATAATTTGACTATCACCTTCTAAGAACTAGGAAAGGAAAATCTTTTTCTTGCCCCTTTTCTTTCTTTTAAAATAATTACTCTTCTGTCTAGTACATAGCAGAAATGATTTGGTGTAAGAAATCAAGACCATATGATTACTTCACTTCTTGTATAAATTGCCCTTGGAGGTTCATTTCCTTGTTACCACCATACATATAAGCTTCTTGTAAAGAGGCGCCATAGTTAATTATTTTTTATTTGTTTAAACCTTTTTGCTTCCCTGGAATGGATAACAAGTTCTTGGGGACTGTGCAAAAGTCAGTAATTACATTATTACTGAAATACTTTCTAACACTCATTATACATATTGATGCGGTGAGTAGAGCATTTTTTCACCTAATGTCATATATTGCAGAGGAAAGAGCACTCTGGTGTTATTCCTTTTCTCTGCTCCTGCTGGCTCGTGCTGGCTCATTTCTGTCACTGTACTCTCTTCACCTATGTCAACACCCATGCCAGGGCCTACTGGGTGTGCCTGTGCAGTTTCTGACATGAAAACCTCCTCTAGGTTGAGCAGACCTAGGGCCAGCCTGTCCTTTCTTTCCCCTTCAGTCTTCAGCAGCTGTCATTCAAACTAATTGCTTGTATTCAGTATAATTGCATCGGGATTGGTAGAAATCATAGAATATAGAAAGGCTGTCAGTGCCTGACTTGAAAACCAATCGTCACCTATCCTGGGTCTCTTCGGAAATTGCTTTTGTTCTCTTCTCTGGCATTCGTCTTCTTTCATGTTTCTTCATTCTTTCCACCTCCTTCCTTGGTGAGCATACAAATCAATCCTTCCTACTCTTTTCTCTTTCCAGAAGAACCTGCCATCTGTCTCTATTTAATTGAATTCTTAATGCTTTTTTTCATATATCTTTAGAAAAATTTTTTTTCTTCTAGTCCACAGTATATTAATCATATTTCAAATAGAGAATCTAGAATTTATCAAAAAGAACACATAAATATTTGGGGATTATATTTTTTATCCTAATTATGATTGGTTTTTCATACTTCCTTCATTCTCTCTGGGATAAATTGAAAGCCGTATAGTAATATAGTAAAGATCTTTTCTTTTTGATTTCCATTGTGTGTATGTGTGTTTGTCTGTGTGTATGAGCACAGAGTGAGACTAATTTTGAAATAACCTCAGATGATGTTGCATGCTTGCCTTTGTAATTTAAGAAAAAAATTAAGTACCTAGAATTTTTCTCTAGTCTTTCTAAAACATAGAACACATAAATTTAAAAGAAAGAAACGGCCGGCTCAGTGGCTCAGCCTGTAACCCTGCGCCTTTGGGAGGCTGAGGTGAGTGCATTGCCTGAGCCCGCGGATTCGAGACCCGCCTGGACAGCAAGACCTCATCTCTACAATAAATCAAAAAATCAGCCTGGTGTGGTAGCGCATGCCTGGAATTCCAGCTACTTGGAAGGCTGAGGTGGAAGGATCACCGGAGCCCAGCAGGTCGAGGCTGTGGTGGCCAGGAGCAGCTACTGTACTCCAGTCTGGGTGATAGAGTAAGACTCCAACTCAAAAAAAATTTTTTTTAATTTTTTAAAAAAGAAAGAAACACACTGGAAAACTAAAGATTAGAACACTAAATGGGCCGGTGTTTTTTTGTTGTTGCTGTTGTTTTTTTTGAAAACTGAACCTTTTTAAAATCCTGTCTTAAATTGCTAGGTTGGTGAGGGTGGAGAGAATGGGTTGCAGATCTTGAATCTAGAAGAAACTTATTTTTTAAAAAGAAACAAATATAAAACAATCAAATGCAGCTAAAATTAAATGGCAGTGATGGCAAAGCAAGTGCCTGGAATATGAAGAACATAAGAGAGAAAGAGAGAGAGAGAGAGAGAGAGAAACACTTGACTTAGTCATTGCCCTGTGAACAGAATTCTGGCACATCTGCTTTCCCATCATATCACATTGTTGTTGGTTATGAAATGTTCATCAGAACTTATTTAGTTCAGACAGGTATGTGTATGAATATGCAGCTTTTAAAATTTCTTGTTACAGACCTTCAAATATATGTGTGCTCAAAATTTATGACAATAATGAATAACACTAAGCTCTCTACCTGTGGCCATTGTGTCTGGCTTCACTACAAGCACAGCATTTTCCTTCTCAATCTGTTCCACTTTACTTTCTTAATTTAAATTACTGAGGGCTAAAATACATAGGAAGCATGACCTGCAGTCATCTGAAGTATAGACTTTGATAAGTTTTTGCATATGTGAACACCTATGCAAACATCACCCAGAATCTTACAGTTGCTTCCCTCGTGCTTTCTCAGAGGTAACACTGACTGATCTGACTTCTATTGCCATTGATTAGTTTGGCCTGATCTTGTATGTAATAAATAGGATTATACAGTAGATGCCCTTTTGTGACTGATTTCTTTCACTTAGCATATTCACTTAATTAGCTTAGCTTTCATTTTATAATAGTCTGTTCTTGTTGTTTGTATATCATACAACCTTTATTACCCCACTAGAATATTCTTTTTCTTTTGGTCTGTATTTAAATTTTTACTTATTTAACTTGCCCCTTTTTGTTGCTATTTTATCTCATATGACTGATGACCATTGGTTCTTCTTTTTGCATATTATTAAAGAACAAGACTGATTTCCTCTGCCATCACGTGCTTCTTGGCCTAGATAAGAAAGCTCATGCAAGCCCTTAGCATCAGTACAATCTATGGACTGAGGAGCTTTAGAATATGTGCTTGGGAAGAACTCAGCATACTGCCTCCATGAATGTCAAGATGAGGAGGACCTTCTTCTGAAATACCACCCCCATTCTGGGAGCCCTATTCCTTCTAAGCATATCGCTCAGGTTCCCAGAGACTATTTCTGTGTCTTCAGCTTGTAGACAAACATTCTTAATGTTCCTTTTCCAGTAGAGTTACCATGATTATGGAAAAGAGAAGAAAGTACTTACAAGTAGTTTCACACACAGTTTGCCAATCTATTTCTCTATGTTCTAATTCTTCTTTACATGCCCAGTACTGGGTGTGATTTCACCTAGAAGCATGTCTCTCATTCCATGTGACTGTTCTTGCACTGATTACTAATTTTCGATTATGAATGGAATTTTTTTTTGTTACCTAGTTGTACCATGTACTCACTATGTAACAGTGGATCATTCATTTAACTTATCTGAGTTAATGGAAAGTGAGTGGACTTTGAGGTGTTGTTGGCCAGAGTCATTTTTTTAACTTTTTTTGTTATTATTTATTTTAAAGATGTGGGGTACAATCCAGGGTTAGGTATACAAATGGTCATTGCACAGGTAAAGTTTGGGCTTCACTTTGGTCCCCACTTCACTTGGTTTGAGATAAGGTATCCTTATTGATAAAGCATGCCCCCCCATCCCCATCCCCACCACCCGTCCCCCGGCAGTTTCCCACTACTGCCAATCCCTTTCTTTAGACAGATACATGAAAAAATGCTTAGTCTCACTAATCATCAAAGAAATGCAAATTAAAACCACACTGAGATACTACCTAACCCCAGTCAGGATGGCCATCATCAATAACTCAAAAAAACAACAGAGACTTTCTCTGGTTCTCTCACTTACTATTTATGTCTCTGAATAAGTTGCTTTGTCCTCTGAGCTTAAATTTTCTTTTCTCTGAAGTGAAAATGAGATTGTACATCTCCGGGTGATCAGAAGAGCTAAGATGGTGTATGTAATGTGCCTGTCACTGTGCCTGCCACATTGGAAAGCAGTTTGTTCTCCTCTTTACCTCCCTTCTCTCTTTTTCATGCACTAGCCTTTGCCTTCTCCTTCCAGCTCCTTGTTTCTATAGCCTTTCTGGTAGGCCTTTATTTTCTCTTCTGAAAAACAGAGAGATGAAACCTTCCTTCCTCACAGAATCATGGTGAGGATCCAAGGATGCTGTTTTGCAAACTATAAAATACTCCTCAGACAGCAATATTATGATTAATAACAGTGATAATAATAGTGAAGCAGGCCACTATGTAATAGGGCAAAATAATTTATATACACATATATATATTAGCTTCTCCATTACAAGATGATTCTGTGGTGAGTTTATTATACACCATTAAAATCGAAGCCTCATGTATCTCTGGTTGTGTCTACTTAGAGGAATGAGTGAATGGATGTGTTGTTCTTTCGTATTTGCATATGTGGAACTGATAATGACTCTGAATTGGTGACAAGGCTTAGTAGAGGCAAAATAAACGTATTGGTAAATAAGTTGTGACTAAATGTAGCCACAGTTGTGTAAATGGAAAGCAGCCGTTGTCCCTCAGCGTATGTTATCTCACTGATGGCTGTGGGGTGCAGGGCAGCAAAACATAGGGCTTCGCGAAGATTGCTTCTCCACAGACCTCTCCACTGGATGCCACTATCCGCAGACAACTCTGACAGAGCTCCCTAAAGGTGGTGGATTTATTTGCTGCTTCTTAAATTTCTATGGGCTCACACTGTTACCCAGTTTAAGTCGATGGGTCACAAACAGTGAAGTCTTCACATTGGTGAAGGTTCTGGTGTCTCTTGGATTCCCACACTGTCCTGCCCCTTTATTTCAGGTTACTTTTTTGAGTATCTAGCAGAGTGGTTCTTTCTGCCAAAAGAGAAATAGAGGCGCTCACCGAGACCACACTATGATTCTGTTGCAGGCCAACCCTTTGTGAATCCCGATGGAACTCCTGCAATATACAACCCACCCGCCAGTCAGCAACCCCTGCGAAGTGCTATGGTGGGCCAGTCCCAGCAACAGCCCCCACCACAGCAGCCCTCTCCTCAGCCCCAGCAGCAGGTCCAGCCACCACAGCCACAGATGACAGGCCCACTGGTTACTCAGGTAAGAAGCTGATTGGCAGTCAGTGAAGGGAAGTACCTAAAATGAATGCTGTATTGTCTGCAGAGCATCAGTGCATCAGGCAAAGGGGTAGATTTTCCAGTGGTGCCACCTCCATACACTCAAGCCTCATAAGTGAAACCTGCCATCCTAGGGTTCTTGGTTGCAGGTTGACAGGATTTTGTCTAGACATTTAAGAGTAGATTGAGATGAGTACCCCATCCAGTGACTTGAGGGTGAGAGTACAGTGCTAGGGAAGATACAGATTTTTTTTTTCTTTAGGTCTAGATGTTATGCTTATGTATCAAGGAGCCTGTGTCTTGGAAACAGAACTCATAATTCCATCCAGGCCTTTGCATCATCTTGCTCACTCATTCCCCTCACAGAGCAAATGCTCATGACTGCAAATAAACGGTATTGAACTCTTTTTCAATGGGAGGAACAGAAATCAGTCAGTTCCATGGTGGACTGGCTATTCATACATACCTCCCTTAGAAAGATGCAGAGCTACCCTCCTTTCCTAGGAAGAAACATAAACATGTTCACAGAAACCTAAAGTGTTCCAGGTAGGCTGCCAGAGTAAGGCCCTTTTTTATAATTCTTTTTTTATTTCTTTTGTCTTGGGCAATATGTTTAGACTCAGAGGATCTTACCAACAGCAATATCAGACATACATTAATAACTTCCTAAAGGAGAATTCCTATATGCAAATGAGCCTCTCTCAAGGCTATCTTACTCTGGCCCAGACAGTCTTGTCTTTTCTTTGGTGGCTGCTTCCCCTCTGAACCAAGAGCACCTATAAGGGACAGTGGTATACTTCCTATGGGACTTCAGCCTTAACACTTTTCTCTTACCTGATCATCTTTTTCTTTCCTCCAGTCTGTCCAGGGGCTGCAGGCTTCCTCTCAGTCGGTGCAATATCCGGCAGTCTCTTTTCCTCCCCAGCACCTCCTGCCTGTGTCTCCAACGCAGCACTTCCCCATGGTACTGTGTTCTATGTATATGACTTTTTTCCCCTGGGAGAGCATACTCACTGGTTTTACTACTTCTCTGTGCAGCACTGGCTGACACTGGGAGGGTGCCCTGGGCTGACTGTGAGGGGGTGTGTTTCAGGGTGTCATTCCTGAACATTGCAGCACATCTGCAAAAGCAATGGTTTTCCTTCTGTTCTCTGTCTGTCACATGCTGAATGCTTCTGTGGTGTGCTACCCTCTTACGAATTTACCAGTTAAGCAGAAATCGAATGCCTTCAGAGTTAAAAGTCAGAAACACAGAGACACGTGAACTTGGTGTGAGGTTTTAAGAAATATCTCAAAGTCAGTGTTGGGATGGTAACCATTATCACTCTATGCTCTTGATATGTGTCCCCATGAGACGCCAATCCTCTCATTTTTTTTTTTTTTTCATTTCTCTCTCAAATTACTAGGTCTTTTTGAACAAGCTTAAAGGGTGAGCATTGTTCCTAAATTTCAGACCAGGCCAGTGAGCACATACTGTCTAATATAAGAATATAATCCCTCCAAGCCTGATGATGATAACAGTCCTGGTTCCTTCTTTGCAGCAGCACTGGGTAGTAATTAGTATAGGTGCTTTCACCTCTCTCTAGAAGGTAGGTCCTGTGCTCGCTGCTGGGAAGACTATGGAACTCTTCAGGACAGATAATCAAGCTTTCCTTGTCTGAAGCACCATCCCAAGGAGCCTGAGCCTTCAATGAAAAACAATAATTTGCTTTCATTGAAAGGACGATTTGGGTCAAATTGTTTACCATCCCTGACCCTTGCGATGATTAATATCTGCTTTTTTATGTTATATTCTCTCATTATGATCTGGCTGGATAATTATTTTATTTCTTACAAATTGTACTTCTTCTCTCTCCCACAACTACATGCATGTATCTTGTGTCTGCCTCAATGTGTCTCTCTCCTTACCAAGCTGACCTTGCTGATTTCCTCATTTATTTCCATGGCTTACAGAGAGATGATGTGGCAACACAGTTTGGCCAGATGAACCTGAGCCGGCAGTCCTCGGGAGAGACTCCTGAGCCCCCATCGGGTCCTGTCTACCCACCCTCCCTTATGGCACAGTCAACCCAGCAGCCAGGCTACGTCATCGCCTCAACAGGCCAGCAGCTTCCTACAGGTGGCTTCTCAGGCTCTGGTCCTTCCATCTCCCAGCAAGTCCTCCAGCCCCCTCCCTCACCACAGGGATTTGTGCAACAGCCTCCGCCTGCACAGGTAAGTGTGCTTTTCTTACACCTGTGACCTACAGACTTTGCCTATGACCTCTGCCCTTCCATAGGAAATATCACCAGGTTCCACCTGTCTTGCCCTTCTGAGCCTTATTAATATTCCCCACCAAAAGGACCTCTTCTATCTTTCTGTTCATCAGTTGTGCAAAGTCTTGGAGCTCAGAATGTAAGTTAAATGAAATTGACACAACTGCCCATGAACCAACAGGGGAATATATCTATCTCATTTTCCAGGCTGCTGATACAGAAACCCCATAAGGAAGCATTCCCTCCCATGTGATATTCTGCTCTGGAGGTTGCCCAGAGTAGAAAAGCCCTGGGGAAGGGAAAGGCCTGCACCTAGGGGACTTTCAACTCTCTCTTGCTGCTGCTCAGAAAATGTGTTCTTTCCTTTCTTATCAATTCACGAGCATTTTCTGAAGCTAATCTGGTGTTCCAGGCAGGAGCTCCTCCATGAATATAAAAGAGGAGGGTAAACTGATATCCACTGTCCTTTTCTCTCCCTAAGGGAAAGCAGAGCTCGCATCTCTCTCACAGGTAGCCATTAATCATATTTAATTGACTTGAGCATGTAAGACACCACAGATCACTGATTTTTACTGTCTTCTCAAAGACTGATTATGTGTTACTGTTCACCAGCAAACATCTCTGGTGCTCTCCTGGGCATCCCTTGCAGAATATTGGAAGTGATTACTGTCAAGATATAAAACGCACAGAGGCATCTTCTGGTCCATTTTCAAGGCACACATATCCCAAGAAAATTCCATCCTAATTATGAAGTATTGCACCGGATGAGTTGTTTAAAGTGCAGTGTCATCTTTGTATCATTTGTTTCACTGTCTTAACATCTTGAATAAATTATTTTCTTTGCAAGTCACACAAAACTCCCAACCATGAAATGATTGTCACTCAGTTGTTCATTTTATTTTGAATGATTAATTAATAGTTCATCTTTAGTTGCCTTCTCTGTAATATTTCTTCACTAGTGGGAGATGTGTAAAATAATTTTAAGTTATGGGAGAAAGGACTTCACTAATATACTTATAATTTTACTAATAAATTAAATAATTCAAATTTAATTGTTGAGAACAAATTAGCTCTTTTTGCCTGAATAGCATCTAAGTGTCTTTATTCATTTCTGCTTCAGATAGAAGAGTTGTCAGAATGTTTAATTGAAGACTTTATTTCAAACAAAGAAAAGTCCTTCAGTGAAGGAAGTTTCAGTATTAGTGCACAGTACAAGCAAAGACAATTCAGAAACCCTGGTGTGCTTGCAACAGCAATATTTTCATTCCCTTTTCAACAGACTTTTTTTAAATAGAAAGAGAGGGGACATTTTAAACAGACGTTCACCTGATCTCAAACCAGGTGAAGTGGGGACCAAAGTAAGACCTAAAATTTACCTGTACAATGACCATTTGTATACCTAACCCTGAATTGTAACCCACATCTTTAAAATTTTAAAAATTAAAAATAAAAATAAACAGATGTTTATGATTCATGTTCAGTTTGAATATTTATGAATTTCTTTTTGAAGAACCACAGATAAGGTATAGAATATAACTTATAGTGACTTGCAATTTACCAAACATTTTTAAATGTGGTGACTCAAATATAATAACAATAGAAAAAATGTAGTTAGATTCAACCCGCAGGCATACAAGGAAACTTGTTAAATTTATGCAGAAAATGAATCCATTTAATAATTCTGAAGGTCAATTTTGTCCAACTCATCGTTTATGCTTTCTAAATGCCCACTGGAAGGGTGAAGCAGGGAACACATGAACAAGACAAAGAAGGATTTAAAGAGGAAAAATGATAAAAGTGCTTATTTTTAGTTTCTTTCTGTGATTTATTTCTTTCCCTACTAATTCGCTCATTTTTGGATTCTACATATTTTAACATGGTTGGTTGCAAACATACATTTTCTCCTTTGGGGCTATTCTCTTTTCTCCGTTTCCCTCTCCCTTTTCAAATCTTTACTCCTCACACTTTAAAATATTCCTCTTAGCCAGTCTTTCTTTTCTTCCTCTTCACCAGAGTATGAAGATGGGACTTTGCATCTTACGGTTTGGAGTCATAATTCCTAAGGGCTTGCCAAGGCTCTACCTTGGAGAGGTGCTGGATGGAAGTAGCTAAGCCTCTAGCACAACCTGTCAAAATCTGGGAGAATAAAACAAAAACAAAACAAACAACAGGAACAGCAAAACTGAGTACTAAAGGTGTTTTTTAAAAAATCTCCATGAATCTGTACTTTTAGCCAAATCATGAGTGCTCATCAGGAAATTTTAAGTGTTTGAAGTCCATCTTTCATCCCCAAAGGCATTTTTATGTTTCATAAAGGAAATCAAGGAATGCATAACACATTCATGAGCTTATGTTTAATCAAGACACAGTCTTTTCTAAAGGAACAAAATCCCATTCTTCTTAGAATTCATGTAAATTTAATGTTGGTAAATAAATTAAATAATAGTTTGGATTTTTTGTTTGTTTGTTTTAGAAACAGGGTCTTGCTCTGTGGTCCAAGCTAGAGTGTGCAATCCCAGCTCACTGTAGCATCAAACTCCTGGGATCAAGCTGTCCTTTCACCTCAGTCTCCCAAAGAACTGGGATTAGTGAGCCACTATGTCAGGACTAATAGTTATTCTTAATACTGGAAAGCATCGGATGAATGATAGTAGTAATCTTTAATTTAATTTAATTTTTAATAGTACTACAATTTGTCAGAGTGTAACTAAATTCTGTTAATTTTCCAGAATTATTTAGATTTTTATTGTAATAAACTTGCTTACTCAAAAGGGAGAAATAATATCAAATCACTATAAATGATGTGTACAAGAAATTAGTGAGTTGCCGGATACTGACCCATGATTGCTTTAGACTCATTCAGTCTCTTGCCCTTGAATATTCATATTGTTAGGTAGTCACAAATATAATTCATCATAATTTCATGGAATTGCAATCACAGTTCCACACAGATTAAGTTATCTTCTGATCCTACTTTTAACCTCAGGTGGGAAAAAAGTGTTTTCTATTTGACATGAGCAAATCAGAAAATAAAATAACCATGAAAATAAAATAATCATAAAAATCAAAGTTCTCAAATAGTTTTTTCATGGTTTTATTCCACATATGTGATATTGGTCAGCTGTTGACTGGGATGTCTTCATTCTTTATGGGAGATGATTGTAGAAAATTCAGGGATCTGGAAATGGAAAATAATTAACTAGGAATAGTAAGAAAATAGATTTAATATAAATGACCTGAGGCAAGCAAAGAAGTCTTACCAGATCAGAAAACATTTGATTTTAATCTTTTTGGAAGTAGAGTATTTTTATTCATTTTAAATCATCAGAAAGTTAAGAAGGTGGCGTAAGCAATATTTTTTACATATTTCCTTTTTTTGGATTGAACATATTTTTGGGAAGAATACTGGCGATGTACCAATCACTCTGCAATATGCTTGAATACACTTTATTATGTTTCATAGTTACATTCTCTGCTTCTTTTAGGCTAGAGATCAGCAGTTTTCATGTCTCACCTGAATTTCCATCAGAAAAACAATTCAAGTTAGGTATAATATATAAAAACGGCCATAGATTTTTGTTGTTGATGATAACTGTTTCATTTTCTCTGGTTTCATGTAAAAAGCACAAAAGGATTGTTTTTAAACAACCATTGTGTTGCTCATGATTTGGTCAGCAATTGAGCAGGATGTACCACAGATGGCTCATCTCTGCTCTTCATGGCTGGGGCAGCTTGTCTGGAGCTATACTCACACGCCTGGAACTTGAGGGTAGCCAGTCACTCAGGCTCCCTTTGTTCTCCACATACCTTTTTCTCCAGCAGGATAGCCTGGACTTCTTTACCTGGTGGGTGGGTGCCCCTCCTGAAGGAGTAGAAGTTGCCGGTCTTCTGAAGGGTCAGGCTTGCAAGTCTCAAACTTCATTTCTGCTTCATTGCACTGGTCAATGCAAGTCACAGAACCATGTCAGATTTGAGACTTGGGAAACAAATGTTCCCTCTTCACAGGAGGAATCACGAGTACACACACATAGACATGGGGAAGTTTGTGGTGGCCGTCTTTACAATCCACCACAATATAAAATATAAGATGACAATGTATTTTATGTTTGAAAATGTTACTTTATGTACAGTTCTCATTCCCTGTCTTCCCCCCGCCCCCCTTTATTTCACAGATGCCTGTATATTATTATCCATCTGGTCAGTACCCTACCTCAACCACGCAACAGTACCGGCCAATGGCCTCAGTTCAGTATAGTGCTCAGAGGAGTCAGCAGATGTCACAGGCAGCGCAACAAACAGGTACTTGGAATCTGTTTCCCATTTTCTCCTCCAATCCAGTTATGTTCGCTGGTGACTCTCATAGCTGTACTCTTTGAAGGTATATTCAGGCTTGGAAATTTAAATCGCCACGTTTCCCCTATCCAGAGAAGATAACAAAGCATCTGATTGACTCTGTGGATAAGTAATAGGTACAAGCAGGTGAAGCCTACGTCAGTCTAGCATCCCAGGCATGCATGCTAAACAGTCTCCATACATGATTTTTTTGCTCTTCTTAGTTTATTTTAAAGCAGAAAGCCAACCACATACCTATCTTTCCAGTTTATACTTCTTTTTTACTTTTTTCTTTTCAATTTGAAGGGAATGAAAGTTACTCCTGTCCCTCAGGCTAGGGAGTCAAATTAGGTTGTCTCGATACCAGGCTAACAAGCACTGCCTTTAGAAGAAGGCTACTGACAATGCGGCGTGTGATTCGGTGGAACTGACTCCGTGGTTCACTTTCACAATGGCCACGCGCCTCCTGCCCAGAGCCCGGCAGCCGCTGTGCAGTGGGAAGGGGGGCCGATGCACTGTACGAGAGTGAGTAGCAGGTCTCACAGTGAACCGGTCTCTTTCCCTACTGTGTCACACTCCTGATGGAATGCCGCTACCCAGAGACCAGCAGGAACCCAGCAGGGCTGAGTGACTTGAGCTAGGGAGAGGCTTGTGTCATTCCTGCTGACCAAACTGCGGGAAAAACTGCTAATTGTCATGCTGAAGACTGCCTGACTAGGAGACTCTGCCTCTGTAAGTAGGTCATGCTAAAAAGCACATGCTCTCTCCCTTCTCCCCCTACCCCCCACGCTCCTCCTAAATGCCTGCTCTGTGATCTGATGTCTACACCAAATATATATATACATGCATATGTAATATGTACAGATATATGTATGTAATAACTACATGTATGCACCGCTTTTTATAAGCCATGAAAAAAGTGCAATCCTTGCCAAGGATTAGTACCAGTCACAGACATCCTGAGAATACTAATGCCGATGCTGCTAGCATTTTGTCAGATTGGAGGAAGAATTAAATTCCTCAGTATTGTGGATGGCTATATGTTCTTTGGTTTGTCTCATGGTTTATTTAAAGTCAGTGGGAGAATTAGAGAACCCCACACAGCCAGACAGATTTCGTCTTGCCTCAACACTGTGTTAGTTTGGGGAAAATATATTTGACTTATGAATTGGCTCTATGCTTTTACAGTAGTAAAAACACTAAAGGCTTTCAAATTATCAGAAAATCACTTGGTAATAATTTCTCTGATCTATGAAAAATGTTACTATCTTTATCATTTTAGTGGTATACATACACACACACTACAGCATTGTGTTGCTTGCATTCTGAACTGTCTTATTTTCTTATGCTGACATTAATTAAAGAGTTAATTTAAAGATCATTTACATCTTGGTTCAGAGGCTATGGAGAACTTTTATTTTTGGTTATCAATGCCTTTAGAAGAAAATAGATGCAGACATGTAATTACAATAATTTTTATTTAGTTTAGTGCCATTGTGTGAGTTTTTTTAAGTGGTTATTTCAGTCCTGTGATAGGGCCGTCATATACAGGAATGTGTTTACAAATGTGCTGGAGTCTGCTAAGCTTATAAACCCTAGATCTATGTAAGGGTGAATATGCTAACTGGGCAACAGAATTCAATTTAGAAAATGTCAGAATTCTTCACTGATTTCTACATTACTATTTCTCCTCTCCACTGACTTCACTGATAAATGTCAATACAAGGAAAAGTACATGGGGCCTTCTTTTACTCTTTTATAAAGCATGGTGGGAGAATTTGGGGATGCAGAAACACCCTCTCCCACCTCAGAGAAACCTAACTGTCCCCAGCTACATTCCATGGCAACCTGGTGGCTTTGATTTTTTTTCTTCCTCCCACACCACCACGCAAATGCCTTGGGGGTGGCATTACAATGATATTGTGATGAGAAGAATGCCTTCTAAAACAGCAACATGCTCAAAATAGAAGCAAGGGCAGTGCTTCAAGTGTCAAGAAAGTGAGTGACAGTTAATGTGGTCCTTGGGGGGTGAGGAGGTGAGAACAGTGAAATGATACATGAACAGTGTTGTCCCCCGACGTAACAGCAGGCTGCAACCTCTGAGCCCTTAGTTTTTGTGACCACCCTACCTGATACCTGGCCTAAAATCACAACACATTTTTCCACTGCAATGCTGAATTTACCGACCATTTGGGAAAGCAGATGGTGTTCCCTGACCACACAGAGAATCACTCCTGCTAAAAAAATTCAGGTAACCCAGTTCACATTGACTCTTTGAGAAAGCATAGAGACTCTGGGTCCTAGCTGGGAGGCCTTTTGTTGAGTCTAGTGAACCAACAGAGTCTTTCCAAAGGAACATGGCGAGTATTTGTGAGAGCAACTCTATGTTACAGTTATCCAAATTTGGATAACTGTAAAAGTTATGTTTTCTGGAGGAACTTGAAGATAGGCCTTTTCCATCTTTAAGTTGAACTTTGGACTAGTATCAGCATGTTAGCCTCCCACGGTGATATTTAATATGATTTAGAATTAGAGTGGAATAAAATTATGTCCGTTAAAGCTAAACAGGATTTTAATCCCAGTTTGCTTCTTGGCGCTGTGCTTAATCTGTAATTAATTGCAATAAAAACATCTCTTACTTCTACATTCTTGCCAGAATTGAAATCTATGCCAGTTACTACATCTTTCTTAGGCCTTAAAACTACATAGTGATTTTTTGTTTTTGAGTTGGAGTCTTTCTGTCACCCAGACTGGAGTGCAGTGGCCACTCCCGGCCATCGCAGCCTCGATCTGCTGTGCTCCGGCGATCCTTCTGCCTCAACCTTCCAAGTAGCTGGAATTACAGGCATGCGCTACCACGCCCGGCTGATTTTTTGATTTATTGTAGAGATGAGGTCTCGCTGCCCAGGCGGATCTCGAACCCGCGGGCTCAGGCAATCCACTCACCTCAGCCTCCCAAAGGCACAGGATTACAGGCTGAGCCACCGAGCCCAGCTTCATAGTGATTTTTTATAAAGTGAATTGGGTATTCTACAATTGATTACATAGTACACTTAAATTACACTGAGGCTCAGTGGGAGGACATACGTTGTTCTTTCTCCTGGTCATATTGTAGTCTGTGTCCTTTCAGTGGACAGTAAAAGTCCTAAGCTTGTAGGAGAGGAAGCTTATGCTAGTGGTGATTATAAAGGCCACTAATGTTGAGGAACTTTGTAGAAATCGAATGGTAGGTTTGCAAAGTGATATTTGGATTTTGTAGTTATTTATGCAAGGAAAATAAAACCTTCTCCATAGGAATGACTTTAATGAAATAGAAAAGAATTTATCAAAAAATTTGCATTACTAGGTACTCCCAGTAGTGGGGGGATGATTTTCTTTGTGAAGCAATTGTTAAGAATTCAAGTCAGCGTAGAAAAAACAGTAATCAGGTTATAGCAAAAGAGACTATAGTTTTTAAATCATTCTGGCTTTGAAAGACTTGGAAGTAGATGAATAAGCCTTCCATCCTTAATGTTTTAGGTTGATTTTAGCAGTCAGTTATCATACTGCTTTTAGTTAGAACCTGTGTTTCTATCATTTATTATTGTTGAAAAACATTATTAAGGCCACAACAATATTAGCAATAATTATATGCATCATTGTTTGAGAATTTCTTGTGGGCTAGTTGCTAATGCTAAGTATGTACAAACTTAGTTTAATCAACACCACAAATTTACAAGGGAAGTCTTAGCATCTCTGTTTTGTTTTGTTTTGTTTTTTTGAGTTGGAGTCTCACCCTGCCGCCCAGACTGGAGTGCAGTGGCCACTCCTGGCCACCGCAGCCTCAACCTGCTGGGCTCTGGCGATCCTTCCGCCTCAGCCTTCCAAGTAGTTGGAACTACAGGTGCACGCTACCACGCCCGGCTAATATTTTGATTTATTTTAGAGATGAGGTCTCGCCAAGTTGTCCAGGTGGGTCTCGAACCCACGGGCTCAGACAATCCACTCACCTCGGCCTCCCAAAGAGCGGGATTACAGGCTGAGCCACTGAGCCCGGCAGCATCTCTGTTTTATAGGTGGGAGACACTATTGCTTAGGGAGGTGAAATAAATTCCCCTGGTTTCCAAGGTTGACTAAATTGAGAAAAGCACCAAGGCATGACTGATTTTAAGCCAATGTTTCTTTTTTAAACTTTTTTTGTTTTAAAGACATGGAGTACAATTCAGGGTTAGTTATACAAATGTCATTGTGTATGTAAAATTTGGGCCTCACTTCCATCTCCACTTCACCTGGTTTGAGATCAGGTACCCTTATTGACGGGGTGTGCCCCTCTTTCCTCCCCTGGCAGTTTCCACTACTGTCAATCACTTTATTAAGCCAGTGTTTCAAGCATTTGATTGGAACAACGATGACACAGTTACTGTTTTTCTTTTGTATACTAGCATGAATGATAATATAGAAACTTGAATGTTGGAACTAAGTCAGCATGCTCATGTTATAGAGGCAGGTAATATTTAATTAATTGTTCATGTACCCAGGTTGACCTAAAAGCAGGGAAAAAAATCAAGAACCTTGGACTTTTTCCTTCCTACACAACTCGGAGTTCCATATTACTTTGCAGAGCTGGTCAATAACAATACATGGTAGAGAGCAGCTGAGGCATTTGTGTTCAAATCACACATTGGAAAAGAAAAGAAAATAGCAAAAGGCTTCCTCTTAGAGTTTCCAACTCTAATTTTCTTTTTTTTTTTTTTCAGTTTGACTTTAAAAAATATATACTTAGCTTCATTATTGGTTCTCCAAAATCTCAATGCCTCCTAAAAGCAACAAAAATGAGCTTATAAAGTCCTATATACTTTCATAAATAGACATCTGGGAAAGTTTATAGGTTTGATGTCAGAATAATATTAACCTCATACAATGAGTTGGAAAGTGTTCCCTCCCCTTCTATTTTTAAAGAGATTATATAAAATTGGTGCTAAATCTTTTAAATGTTTTGGTAGAATTTTCCAATAAAAATTTGAGCCTGAAGATTTTCAGAAACATTTCTTTAACTTTATGTTTT